ACTTAAATGTCCTAGGGTACTTAAGCACCCCTGTAGATTAAGGTCGTGCACCCCTGGAGATAGCAGCAGTCTGACCTTGCTGTCTCCCTGATGGGTGTGTGTGTGTGTGTGTGTGTGTGTGTGAGGAAACCCAGACTAACTGTGTGTTGATCCTTCTGCCAGATGTTCAAAATAAAAGGCAAGTTTGCCAACAGTGACGGTCTTCTTCTGTGAAATACACAACGCAACAAAGGAGCACAAAGCCGCTACAGTTACAAAGCCATTTGGTCAGGACCAGTGTTACTGACAAAACTTTCGAGAGTCCGGAACAAGACTGGAAATAGGCCATGACATATCCACGCTTATAAAGTAATTTTGAAAGAATTATTGGTAGTGCTGGAAGTATGTAATCCTTGTAAATCTCAGAATCACTTCCTAGTTAACTTTGAGCCTTTTACCACAATAACAATATACCTCTTGATGGCCCAACATCTCACACTTCGGGCAGGGTGGGGCTAAAAGCCCAGCTGGCCCCTACTGCAAACAACCTCCCCAATACAAAAGTGATTTAGACTTGAAGGGAACAGTCTTTTGATTCTATGAGCTTCTAAGATATACCCTGTGAACAGAATGCTGTGCTTGTGTTGCCTATTGATGAACAGTTCTGACTTGCAGTGCCTGCTCTCAATTTCAAGTCAATGTCATTGCCACATAAAAGATTAACATTTCAAATTTTTCAAAATATGAAAAGGCCCACTTTACTATCTTATTATTACAAAAGTGATATTTCAAGAAAAAAGTTTGAAATGGTTTTCATTGTCTGTCACACAAATAAACTAATTCCAATAGGACATTATGATCACTCTACTCAACTTTCGAAATACAAATAATTGGCTAAAAATAATCTATTGCATTATCTATCCATGTGAATGTGTACAAATAAAGTATATTGTTGTCTTTAGGCATCAGCCCCCTCCACTGTTCCCAGCAAAGTGGGAGGACTGTCAAAAGTTTTATTTAACAATTTCTACACTGTGGCCCATGTGTTTTTCGGCATGTAAATGGAATATGAAGTAAATAGAGGAAGTAAATAGTATACTAACCCTAACCCTAACCCTCATACACCTGAGCCACCACACAGTAAGATGTTTCATAAGACCAATCTTAAGTATTATTGTGTCCTTTATTGTACAGTCGGTGATAGGAATAAAAAGAGTAATGTGTTGTTTCTCCACCGACACTCAGACCAGCCCCTCATACACCTGAACAACCACACAGCAAGATGTTTCATGAGGCTAATCTTAAGTATTATTGGACCCCAAACCGTTCCTCCTTCAAGATGACCCTCATCCTGCTCATCATGAATGACCTGCTGCCCATCACCAGGGAGATGCCTCTCATCAGTGAGTGACCGACCCCTGTGATGCTGGAAAGGGACAATTTCTAGGTAGAAAGTAGTTGCAATGAAAAGTGTGTCGATTATTTGGTCAATGTAACTTTAAAAGAAATGACTAATTTGTTTAATTTATTGTGAACAACAGGTTCCTCGAGTTTTATTGTAAACATAATTTCCAACACAAGAACATAGCTAAGATACGTGATGTTATTGAAAAGTTGAATGAACTGTCGTTTGTTGTGTCCTGCAGACGTTTTCTTCTGCATCAGTCTCATCCTGATGGTGGCCAGTCTGTTGGAGACGGTGCTGATCACTAACATCCAGTTCAGGGCCAGTCAGTACAGTGTCGTGCCTTCCTGGCTCAGCGTCCTCGTCCTACATTATCTTGCTGTTTTTGTGTTCATCCCTCCGATATAGAGGAGCAACAAAGTCACAGTCTTCTTCAACCCAGCTACTAGAGGTATATTGATATTATCTATGCAATCTATATATCTATATAAGCTAAACTGGACAAGTCATGAGAACTTTAATCAGACAGTTGGAAGAAGTGGTTCTGACCAAGCGACATTTAGTAGAAGTAGAGCAAAACTGTTGTCCTCTTTCAGATGATATTTCTTCTATTCGTGTTTTACAAAGTACCCTGAGCAAATAGATAATAATGTATGAGATGGAGAACATCTTTTCCTCCTCTACAATCCCTCTTTTATAGATCCTGTGCTGAAAGCATCGACCAGTCTTTTGCTGGTTGAACTAGTGGTGACAGAAGGTGTTTCACCAGATGAAGATAACTGGAAAGATCCATTTGTCTGTTTGTTTATTGGTTCATTTGTTTGCCAGATTACTAAAAAAATTACTTAACCTTTTTCCACCAAACTTGATGAAAGGAAGGGTAGGAACCCATTTAATGTGGATGCAGATGTGGATTCAGGTATTCAGGATTCAGGATTTATTTCACTTTCACAGGAAATTCTCGACATTTCATGTAAAGAAATAAAGAAGAAAATAAGTTTCCTCCCTGTTGGGGAATCGAACCCCAGTCTTCCGCAGTGGGGCTGCGTATAGTAAGCCTTAACTCTCTTAACTTTTCCGATTCATTTTCTATCGTAGTGCTCAACACTATGGATGTGATAGATTATTGACCACTGAGTGTAATTTGGGGGCACTGTTGCCCCGTACTGGAAATAGGAACCGGAAACCCTGCTCCTTTAATTTTCTCATTCATTCTCTATGGTAGTTTCTTAACACTACGGATGTAATATATTTTTGACCACGTGGTGCTGTTTTCCCGTTTTCACACCTCTGAATTCAAAGGAGAGCATCGGTGGCCACAGTAAAGTACAGTAAAAAGTTTGACCAACAAAACTGAATCGTAAGTCAAGCCATTTTCTTCAAGTTGTCATTCCATGTTTCTCAGTGGTATCAGCCTTTTGTAAAAGTTTTTTTAAGTTGTTTTCTGAGTTGTAGTAGAAGAAGTAGTTTCTTTCTTTTGTTTGCTAAGGTGTCTTAGTACAAAATTTCAACTACTGACCTTTCTGAGACACTATCCTTTGTACTGCAGGAGTTGTCTCCCCAAGTCTTTCACTTGTGTGATTACTTTAATACCTGACCAACAGTTCCTGTCTGTTGGAGGTTAAACCTATTTGGTCAGGAGAGAAAAAAGCTAAGCATACAGTCTACTGAGGGGATGTAACACCAAATGTCCTTGGGGGGGTTTATTGCTTTTCCTGTTGCCTGTTGACCAGCAATCCTTAAATGTAACCTTCAAATGGGTTTTTATTACTTTAACCCCCTCAGCTACTTCGGGAATACAGAGAGGGGGCTTCCTCTTCTGCATAATAAAAGCACACTTTGATCTATTGTTTAGGAAAACTGTTTTAAGTGTCATATGTCTGTCCCCTCACCTGTCATGTGACCAAAGTAATCCCCTTTCCTCCCATCCTTAATGTATATAAGCTCTGTCACTCCTTTGTTTAGTCAGAGCAACTTTGAATCTTATACTTTCTGTATTTGTTCATTGTATTCCTCCCTTGCGCAAATAAATCAAGCTATGGTTCTTTTTTTACTCTCTCATTAAGATATCAGGAGAAAATATCCACAACACTGGATGTGCAAATTGTTTAATTTTCAGCGAGGAGGGGATGTATCAGACCGCGTGGAGACGAAGGGGGAGTATTTGCTCCAGTTTGGCAAATACAAGGGAAAGTCCTTCAAGTGCCTCCTGTAGAATGACATCGGCTACACCATCTTCCTCATGAAAAGGGTTGAAGAGGAGGAGAGAGAGGGGACCTTCAATCCTCAGGGAAATGCCAAGGAGAGCCTCCTGTCATTTCTGGACAAAGCAAGTAGCTTCCAGGACATCAAGGACCTGAGGGCGTACCTGTCCTCCAGGAAGCCTTCCTCACCAGTGGCATCTGAGGGGGACAACATCGTGGGCTTTGGAGCCAGGGTTAGAGACACTTGGAGGAAGATCTGGGAGACAAGCGCTGACGACAATGCTGCATTTATCCTGGGTGTAAAGTGCGTCAAGAACAGTAAAATGTACAACTTGCAGCAGTACCTGCTGAGCCAACAACAGGCTGAGACATGTCCACCCCCTGCAGAAGTCCCCACAACATTAGCCTCCACCTCGCTGGCATCTACCACACTTGGTGAATATGCACACTAGAAATGGAAATATAGTTTTTATGTCTTCATTAAATGTACCTTACAATTGATTAATGTGACCGTTCAATCTCCTAGTGATAGAAGAGGACGTTGAGCTGGAGAAAGAAATGCTACATCTATTGCCATCTAAATATAACATTGAACCAAGTAGGTGGATTGAGTGTATTGTATTGAGGGTCACTGTGTGTGGAGAGGGGGAAAGAGAAGAGAGCGAGTGATTGCACCTGAGAGGAGGGTAAGTGATTGCACCTGTGAGTGGGGGAGGGTTCAGAGAGCAGGTTAAAAAGAGCAGGGTGAGTGGACGCGCTGCTGTGTTGTTGGAGAGCGGAGCTCGGTGAATGTTGCGGGCCTGAGGCCTGGCCAAGCAAGCTGACATGTTGCACTCATTGCCGGAGGGCGGGTGCCGTTCACATGCTGTTTAGGGCTGCCGGCGGTGAAGATAGACAGCGGGTTGTAGGGTGAGGTTCCGGCGTCAGGTAGAGGTGAGACTGGGGTAGCGGGGAAAATAGGAGTGCGTTTGTCCGCTCTCCAGCCGGTAGGAGGACGCTCTCCTGCATTACAACTGGAGATGCTTCACTGCGCTGGATCTGTGATGTTCCCCACGACAGACTTTGACTGAAGCCAGACCAGCACCAAAGCTCAGACCCCTGGGGAGGGTCTCGAACTCCGGGAGAGTTAAGTGGTTTTAATTGACCCATGTTTGTATAAATAATGTGTGTCACGTCTTGTGTAACGTTACCTGTTATTGATTTTAAGAGATGAAACACAGGTTGCTAGGCCCTTTTTCTTAGTAGTCCAGTTCATCAGTTTATTGGTGAAATAAATAAGTAAATTCATATTTGATGTGACAGATAAATGAATAAATAGGGTTGATTTAAAATAATCTTACTGAGAAGGAATAAATAGGATTTAGGATTAAAATCTTAAATATGTTAATAAATAGAAAAATGAACAATGTTTATTTAGATCTGTTAAAAAAGGGTATTTTGTTTCATCTCAAAGTGTACAAGATTCAGGTGACATGAGGAGTTCACATGATATAACGTAACCAACCAGGCGCCGTCAGGGTGTACGGGTCATTGTGTGTCGTTGTTTTTTCTCTCTCTACCGGACCGACGTTGAGGCAGCTACATGCTACCTTTTCGCTACACGTTATTGTCTTTTGAGCAAGAGAGCAAGATATTCAGACAGCTTTGGGGAGCAAGACCCTCTTTTGTTATTGCTGTGGGTTGATTAGAGGACCGTGTATCCTGCAAAGAGGATGAGGGAGAGCTGTAACCTGGACTGATGAGAGCCGTGAGACCTGCATTGTGCTGCTGCGTGTGCGCGTGCGTGCATGTTTTCGTTGTATGGGTTCCTGGTTTCAAGACCTCCATGGAGATTTCTTCTGCTGAGATTCTTCCTGTTCTGTAAGATGGAGGGGAACTCAGTGGTCGTGGCGAGCCATCCAAAAACCGAACTGTGATCTTGTCAGTGACTTGGGGATTTAGTTTGTAGATTGTTGTTTGATTGTTCACGTGTTTATTGACCTTCATAGTATTTTTTTTATTACATTTTCTTAACCAATACAATATACCACAAGAAAATACTTACCTGTTAGTTGTGTGACTGTTTTTTTCTTGTCCACTCAATGCAAATTGCTAATACCCCTTTCTCCTATAGCAAGACTAGACTTCTGATTTACTGGTCTGCAAGAATATTAGCACATTGATGAAAACACATATCTGTATCACCCAAGCCTTTATCACTGACAGTAAGAGCTGAGGTGGGTTACACAGGCTTCAAGCTTAGTACTGGGGTGGGCAAAACAGCTGAGGGACCTTGATTAGATCCTCAGGTGCCATTGCATGTGCCTGAATAGCATGGGTGTGTTGTTTGTTGTGGTGCAATAGTGTGTTGCACCCTGAGGGGGTGAAGTTGTGGTGTAAGTTGCAGTGCTGTATTATGTTGCCGTGTCTTACGAGTGTGTAACTCTCCTTTGGTGTGAATTGGATTGGCATACACTAGTTTCCTGCCCATGCGGGGACACTGGGGGGAAAGTATAGGACTCAGTGATCGATTGACTCTGTGTACAAAGCTGTGACTGTATGAATTACCTAATAAAGTTATCATTTTCTATTACTCCAGGTTTCCTCTTCCTTACATTGTGTGTGCAGTAAATTCCTTCTGCGTGCATGCTCTCTACATTCTCATACAGTATCTGAGACAAGGTTTATTTCAGTATTAAACAGTTTAACATTGATGATAACAGTCTCACATCCTTTGTGCTTTCAGGGCCTTCAGCAGTACTTCCCAAAGTCACAGATGAATCACAAACAACAGATTTTTCTCCCCGAGTGGAATAAGGGTGCTGTCCGCAGACTTGACCATCCATGAATTTCCCATTGGTCAACGCTTGTGTTGTTTCAGCCATGTTCTGGCCTGTTCTGATGTGTGCCTTTTTATCTCGTTCGTTATTCTGGCCATGTTCCGGCCTGTTCKGATGCCTGTGTTCTCCCATGAATTTAAGGAACACGTGTCAGTAATGATGTGAAGTGGTTTTTGTTTTTTTGCATGCTTTTTTTTTACCGTTATTCAAGCATTTGGCATGTAAGAAACATTAGATTTGATATTCAATCATAGATATAGCTTGGCATGCAACATMTTTGATAAACAGATGGTTTGTTTTCTATTATATTGTATTGTAGCTCAATGTTGTAATGTCACTCCCGTCACTGCATGTATAGACAGATTGACGGTGTCAGAAAAATTACGCAAAGGTTTCTTTACAGCACCAAGGGCTATGGCAACTGCCACTGTGTCCAGATTTTGGCGAGACAGATGAACCCACTAGGATTGCTTCAGAAAAAGGTGATGGTATTTATTTACCTCTTACTTAAAAGTACCCTGAATGTGTACAAATTGTGAGATTGTTTCATTTTTCTTCTTTTGATTCGATCGCCACAGCCAAAACCACCTTGCCAGTCCGTCCTTTGCTCCTTGCTATTGCTGCTCAACTTGGAATAGAGCAACACCTAATGTGCAGAGCCAAAGTAAGAAACAAATTAACATTGTCAGACCTAGTATTAATAGTGTCCTGTAATGTTATCTAATAATGACATCAGATAACTGTTAAATTGAATTATCTTTTGATTTCAAAGCACATGGACAGCTTGTGCAGCAGGGATCATCTGTAGAGCTTGAGAATAAAGCGGATCCATCTCTGTCTGAAGGTAAATATTCAATAAATCGTATGAAAGAGAAGAGCTCAATCGTGTGTTCATTTTTTTTATGTGTGCATTTTTTTGTTTGCATTCCTTGTCCTAAATGCTTCATTGTAGAATGTGGATCCCGTGGAGGCACAAGGGGACACCGTCCTTGATGAAGGTAGGATTTTGTTGTCACATTATTTGCATTACATTTAAAATTTGCTCTCCGTCCGTGTTTTTACTGTTGTTTTTTGTGCTTGTGTTTTTTAGCACCTCTGCAAACTCCTGCGCCCCAGCCCAGGCAGCCATCAGCCTCTGTCCCAGGCTACTATCACGATGTGTGCGGTGGAACTGCTCCCAACAGCAGAAAGTATGGATGAAGTGTGAGATGGAGGCTGTCAAGGGGGGGACTTGGAGATAGGACTCGGAAGCAGAGTTAGGAGAATGCTGACAAAGATCAGGTTTTTATTYAACCCAGAACCATACAATAACTGGCTAACAGAGGGCGCCTCAAAAAGAGGGAATGATTAGAAAACTTACAAATGAAAAATCCTACCTTCCGTGAAGGGATAAGAAATAAACAACACTTAACAGAAAACCGTTCCGAAGAGGGAAAAGCGATGAAAAGGGTTAACAAAATAAATCTCCTCCTGAGAGGTAAACGCTATGAACATTAACTAAAAATAACACTCCTATAATGAGGGACAACAATACTAATCTAAGTGTGAGATGGAGGCGTTAGGTCTATGGTCAGGATCACGTCCAGTACGTCACCTGATGAACATGCTGTCCCTGTGGCGTTATCCACCTCAGCCTGAGCTCATAGACACCATCTCTGAACTGCCCTCACCACATTACTTCCATCTTCATCCATTTTTCATTTGGAAGCCAGAGCATTCAATCATGGAAAGGGTGAGGACTACAACTTGCCTTGCCTTCATGGTTGTACTAAACCACTGGTAGTTTCTAGTGGCATTGGAAGGCCAAGTGTCATAGTAGGCATCACTGGCCAGTACTACATTTTAGCTTCACGACTCACTTGTAAGGTTTGTAAGAAGTACTGGCACGCGGCTAAGCCCCAATGGCTGGAGATGTTACCACAGCGCATCAGCAGCATTGTGCCAGCATTCCTGACATTTAAAAAAGCCATCTGTAAATCTGTCATGGATGAGCTCAGACGCAGTGGCAGATCAGCGGACGATATGAGCAAGCAGCTGACAGAGGTGCTTCACCTTAAATATTAAAAGAACTCATTTGGCCTACCTCTCGAGTGTAAGGAACATTAGGGATGGTGAGGCAGRGGTCTATGGTCAGAAAACCATCACTGGGCTTCTTAGACAGGTGGACACTCCTGCTCAGTTTGGCGATTACGTGGATGGCAATGGCTGGTGTGGTGTGTCCATTTCCTCACACTATCTGGTCGACTGCTAGTTCAGGAGTATGGGGGACAGGGACACCTTCTCACCCTTCTGCTGCAAGGGACTTTTGGACGGGCTTTAAGGGCAGATCACACCYGCAAGGTGGCAAGGAAGGTGGTGTTGTCATCAGGCACCATGTCCTCCTATTCCATCATGAATGAGAACTGGATGATCCTGAGCTGGGTGATGCCGCAATCTGAGTGTGAGCGGTCCCTGAATCCATTGTACGAGGGTCTGGATCAACACTACACTGCAGCAGGAGTGGAGAAGGCAAACTACCATTGGGTGGAAAGGTAAACAGGAATGGTTCGGATTGTCAGGAAATTATTACATTTCTATATTTAAAGTATTTTCTAGTGTTAGGCTGATAAAATTTTCAAATTTGCTAGAAATTTCTAATTCAGGTTTAACGGTTTCGCTGACACATTTTTTCTGCAAGCAAACATTCACGGTCATTCTTTTGAGTTGTATAACATTTCTTTTTAATGTGTCAGGGACTGCTGTGCACCATTCAAGATCCTGGACCYGCGTCTCCATGAACACCTCCTATGGGACAGCTGGAGGACCACTGTGGCAATAGAGGCAGAGGCAACATCTGGGAACCTGGCAAACAGCTGTGCATCAAGACACAAGTTTAACAAAGACATAACAATCAAGTTAGATGTGTTTCACTGCATGTGCCGTTTTTCCAGGGAGATGTGTCAGAGCATCATCCTGGAGTGGTCATCTACCTGGAGTGATGACCACTCCAGGTAGATGACTTTTTGCTACAGTCATGCCAGCCAAACAGTTTGCGTTCTGCCTCAGCAATCTTGAACCTGGAGTCATCATTTAAGAGAAGAGGTGCCGGTTCCAGTGGGATTTTCTCCCCTAAGTACGTCCTGTGACAGATTTTGTAGTGGATTAGCTGGTGATTTGGGTTTTTAGAAGACATTTTCCCACACAGTATCCCAATTAATGGACTCTGTTCCTAGATTTATATCTGCCTCCCATAGTCTGCATTCGGATGATTCTGCAGGGGTGTATGACATGAGATTATTATAAATATAGGAGACTGTTTCCTTTTGGGGAGCCCTCTCCATCAATAATATTAAAGGGTGAGTCCTCAATTCAACCCCCCAAGGAACCTTGAGCGAACTAAGTGCTGATCTTACTCTAAAATAGAGGAACTGTGAATACCGAAACGGGACATTAGATCCGGGAAATTCAAAACTGAGTTTTGGCCCGAGATATCCCCAAATGTCCAAATGCCCTGTTGTGTCCAAGATTGTGATATGAATGGTTCACCACCTGTCAATAAATTGACATTATGCCAAATAGGGGAGTGTTTGTGCCATTTTGATTTAAAACCCATGTTTTTCTCTACATTCACCATAGTTTGTATTATATATGATACTATTGGTCCAAATTGAGAATAACACTTCTTATGTTTGAGTCCAGAGAAAGCTATATCTTGAAGTCTTAAGGGATAAACCAGATCCTGTTCTAGCATCTTCCAGGGTGAAGTTACTTCTGCATTAAACCAGTGTTTCAAAGAACGCAGTACAAACGCCCAATGATATAACTTAAAGTTTGGGCAAGCCCATCCACCCTGGGGTTTGTCCCGTTGTAATGTTGACCATTTGATGCAAGTTTCTTTCCATTCCAAATAAACTTTTTAAGCTTTGAGTCAAGTTTCTGCCAATACCCCGCTGGGGTTGGTAAGGGGAGCATAGAACTTATAAAGTTTATGCGAGGGAGCACATTCATTTGAATCGTAGCTACACGGGCGGGCATTGACGAAGGGAGCACTGCCCATCTCTCCAGGTCATTCTCAACTTTCTTCAAGATGGACAAGTAATTATTTCTAGCTATTGCCTGGACGCAGGAACTAATTTCTATACCTAAATTTACCGCCTTTTGCGCCACTAGTATGCATGATTGGATGTTCAATTTCGTCATATCTTTGTTCAACAGTAGTAGGATCGATTTGGAGTAGTTAATCTTATAACTGGATAGTACACCAAAGCATTCTATAATTTTCAGCACATTTGGGAGGGACTGTTGCAGGTCAGATAGGTAAACAAGGGTATCGTCCGCGTACATTGAAATGGAGTGTGATGTGGACCCTATTTTAATTGGAGTAACTAATGTGCTTTGTCGTATGTATTGGGCTAACGGTTCGAGCGATAAATTGAAAATGGAGGGGGATGCTGGGCACCCCCGTCTAGAACCGAGACCTATACTGAAAAGACTGGAAAGTCGCCCAGCTGTGACAACCCTAGCAGTGGGATTAGAATATAAAACCTGTATCATTTTAATAAAATTTGGACCGAATTAGAATTTGTCCAGGACTTTCCACAGATACCCCCATTCCAGGCGATCAAATGCTTTTTCCGCATTGAGAAATAGGAGTCCACCTGGTGAGCCTGTCTTTTCACTATTAGCGATGACATGCAAAAGCTGGTGGACATTGTCTGATGCCAATCGTCCTTTCAGTAAACCAGTCTGGTCTGGATTGATTAACTTCCCGATGACTTTGTCCAGACGCATAGCAATAACCTGGCAGTAAATTTTGATGTGTGCGTTAATTAGCGATATAGGGTGGTAACTTGAACAATTCTGGGGATCTTTGCCAGGTTTATGAAGCACTGAAATAAGTGCTGTATTAAGAGCTTTGTGGAGATAGCCCTTTCTTATAGCAGAATTAATAACATCCAACCAAATCATCCCTACAATATTCCATAGTTCTAAATATAGCTCAGCAGGGATCCCATCAATTCCTGGGGAACGCCCCCTGTTAGTTAATTTAACTGCTGTGTGTAGTTCATCTAAAGTTATCTGGGCATCCAGTTCTCTAGACTCATTGTCAGATAGCGTGGGTAAATTCAGATTGTCAAAGAATGAATCGAATAATTCCAGTGAAAGTTTGTCATCTGATGAGTATAAATTCTCAAAAAATGACTTGAATGTATTATTAATATCGGCTATTTTAGTAACCAGACCCTTCACCGGACAGTTTATAGATGGAATGTTGAATTGGTTTTCTTGCTGTTTCAACTTAAGTGCAAGGAGATGACTTGGTTTACTGCTATCAGTATAATATCTATGTTTGGTGATGTGCATCATGATTTCAACCCGCTGATGTGTATCATCAAATTCCGCCCTCACTGATTTAAGCTTTGTTTCAACCTCGTTACTATAGTTGTCCTTGAGCTCTCTCTCTAAATGATTGCAAGTCTGTTCCAAATGAGAAATCTTTTGCAGTCTACACTTTTTAAGATAAGATGAGAAACCAATCGCATTGTGACGTAGAAAGCCTTTGATCGCTGACCACACAATTGCGCTATCCGAGACTGAATCCTTGTTAATATTAATAAATTCTTCCAATCTGGTTTTAACTTGTGCCAGGTATTTTCCATTTCTGAGAAGGGTTGTATTGAACCTCCACCTGGACGGAGCACCTTGTAGGGAATCCAAGTTAAATTAGGTTATTATTGCATTGTGGTCAGAGATATTACGAGGTAGGAATACAACCCTGTCTACAGTTGGGATAAAGTTTGGTGTGGCTAGGATATAGTCTATTCTTGAGAACATTTTATGATAAGGGTAAAAGTATGTATAATCTCTAGCTGTAGGATTCTGAACCCTCCAGATATCGACCAAATTAATTTCCTTAACAAAGTTCTGCAAAGCGTCAGAGGATAAGGTCTGTAAGTGCGTAATGGATGGATTAGATCTATCTAGGCTACAATCGAAAACGTGTTCATGTCTGATCCTATAATAAGTGAGTAGTTAGATAGACACAGTAACTCTTGAGTTAACCAAGGAAAATGAGATGGATCAAAGATTGCGGGCGCATATACTCTTGCGAAGGCAATTTTTTTCCCTTGGATGGAAACCCCACAATAAGCCAATCTCCCTGAATTATTAGAACTAATTTTCTCAATTGCCAGATTCAGTTTACCTTTCATTAGAATTGGTCTTAGACCCATCCCCCAAGGATGCTACAATTCTGTAGTGTTTGTTCTGCATGCGGCGGACATCAGTCGGTTCTAGATGAGTCTCAGACAGGAGGGCCACATCGACATTTTTCCTTCTCAATACATCTAAAACTTTTGAGCGCTTAAATGGTTTGTTTAACCCTCTAACATTGAGGGATAGTATAGTGTAGTTAGCCATCCAGGTAACCTCTAAACAGAGTGAAATGTAATCCTGCTATAACACAATGAATATAACATCCCTGAGTATTCCCCCAATCCCCCTACCCTTCTGTGATAAACACACAACTTCCTTGTAACCATCTGGAGCTATCTACCCTTCC